TAAAAATATATAAAAATATGAAGTACATTAAAGTATCTGTGCAATGGCTTTACCAAAATAAATAAAAGTCATCGTGAGATATTAAAACATACCTAAGCCATGGCTAGATTGGAAGGCTCAATATGTCATTTCTACTCAATTTTTTAAAGTATTTAATTTTTTTAATTATTGATTTCTAACATAATTGCAGCAATGTAATCAGAGAACATAGTCTCTATTATCTCTTTATGTATGTCTGTATTTAAATTTATTTATTTATTTTTCCGTCACTGTGTGACCTCTTGCACCCTGTCCCACCTCCACCCCATCCCCCCTACTCAATTTTATTAGTAGATTCAATGTGATCCCTGTCACAACTCCAGACAAAATTTGTTTGTGGAATTTGATATGCTGATTCTAAAATATAGGGTCTGGCACAAATAATGCCTCTTTCTATTACAAAATCTTTTTTATTACAAAGTCATACGCATGAAATTTTGTAACATAGCAACATGACACTCAAGCACACCATATGACATTTTAGGTTCAAATTAAAGCCCATATTATTACCTGCCAACCACACTTAAGCAGGCTTTACTTATATGGAAACACAGCTGAACGAAACAAAAAACAAAGCTTTGACAAGTAACACACTTAATGAAATTCAACTTTCTCTTTGATATGAGAAACAAGATAAGGACCAAATATCACCACTCTGTTCAACAGTGTAATAGGAGTTCTAATCAGCACAGTAATGTAAAAAAAAAAAAAAAGGCTAGAAGGGAGAAACAAAATTAACATTTGTAAATAATGAAAACTTGTGCAGGCACTCACAAAGAGAACATGTTTGAGGCAGGTATTTGACAAGTTACCAAGAGGTATTGTAAAGTTACAATAATTAAAACAGTGTGGTATTAGAATAAAAATAAACAGATTAGACCTTTGGAATGGGATAGATACCCAGAGACACTTACGAATACTTGATGTGCACTAGAGTTGACACTGCAGGATAGTGGAGAAGGAATGTTCTTTCCAGTAAATAATGTCATAATAAATGTGTCCATTTGGGGAAAAATAAGTTGGATTTCTATCTAACATCATTTCCTGGAGGGTAAGTTTTAAGAATGAAAGGGAAAAAACAGGATATACCATACTAGATAATAGTTTAATGATTTTGGAGTAGGAAAGGATTTTTTTTACATAGTACACACAACATTTCTGACTTTATGGTCAGCAAAAGACTATACAGATAAAATTTTTGTTGCATCATATATAATTTATGAAGGACAGGTATCTAGAACATTAAAAGAATCTCTATAAATTAGTAAAATAAGACATCAGGCTTCCCCCAAATTGGACAAAACAGTTGAATAAAAGGAAGTCAAAAAGCCTAATGAATGTGTAAAAATTGTTTAACCTTCTCAGTAATCAGAGAAGTGCAGACACAAACTGCTGTGAGATACCAGTATACATTCAGTTGGGGGAAATAAAGAAGGTCTGAGAAGTATCAAACATTTAAGGGAAAATTAATGCCGATTCTTCACAAACTCTTCAAAAAAAAGGAAGAAGAGGAGAGAACATTTCATTTTATGTGGCCAGTATTGGTCTAATATCAAAACCAGACATAGCTATCATGACAAAAGAAAGAAAACTACAGACCAACTTTTCTTATAAATATAGACACAAAAGTCTTGAACAAAACACTAGAAAACAGAATCCAGCAATATGTGAAAAGATTACATGTTGTGACCAAGTGGGATTTAATATTAAAAAATAAATTAATGTAATATATTGCATCAATAAAATAAAGGACAATAACTAATGACCATCTTAATACACAGAAATCATTTGGAAAAATCTAGCACCCCGCGATAATAAAAGCACACAGCAAACCAGGATTAGAAGGGTCTGACAAAGGGCCCCCACGAAAGGCCTGACATCACACGTAATGTGAATGCTTCCTCCCTAAGAAAAGGGGCCAGGCAAGGCTGTCTGCTCTTACTACTTTCATTCAACATTGTGTAGGAGTTTCTAGTCAGGGCAATTCAGCAAGAAAGTGAAATAAAAGGCACACAGCTTGGTAAGGAGGCAAAACGGTCTTTATTTGCAGGTGACGTGATCTTGTGTATGGAAAATTTTAGGTTACTCACTAAAAATCTTTTGGAACTAATGGATGATCCCACAAGGACTTCTACACAGTAGCAATGAGCAGGACAAAGTGAGATGAAGAAAGTAATTCCATCTGCAATAGCAGCAAGAAGAATAAATATCTAAGAATAAATAAACAAAGGCAGGACAAGATGCATACACTGAAAGTCACAAAACATTGTTAAAAGTGATCAAAGAGAACCTAAATAAAATTTTAAAAGCCTTCCTATATTAAAATGGCAATAGTCCCCAAATTGATATGCATATCTAATGTGATCACTAACAAAATCCCAACTGACTTGGCAGAAATCAAGTTGATCTTAAAATTCATATGGAAACACAAAGGACCCATGATAGCCAAAACCATCTTGAAAAAGGATGAACTGGGAGGCCTCACACTTCCGAACCTTGATTACTGTGCCGCAAAGCCACAGTGACAGAGCTGGGGTGATACGGTACAAGGACAGACTCAGAGAGCAGTGGAGTAGCATTGAGAGTCCAGAAAAAGCCTTCGAGTTTGCAGTTAATCGAGAGTTGACAAGAGTTGTTGTTTCAGTCAGTGGTGTTGGGACAATTGGACATCTACATGCAAGTAGAAATTCACACAGAATGAAGTTGGACTCACATCTCATACCATATACACACATGAACTCGAAATAGATACAAACCTAAATGTAAGAGCTGAAACTATGAAACTCATAGAAGAAAACACAGATGTAAATCTGCATGGCCTTGGACCAGGCAATAGTTTTTTAAATATCACACCAAAAACAAAGGCGATAAAATACAGGTGAATTGGACATCAAAATGTAACACTTTCGTTCTTCATAGGACACCATTAAGAAAGCAAAAAGACAATCCACAGAGTGGGAGAAAATTTTTGCAAATCTTATTATATATAAAACAACTCAGTAATAAAAAGACGAATAACCCAATTAACAATGGGTAATGGATCTGAGTAGACAGTTCTGCAGAGAAGATATCCAAATGACTCATAAGCACATGAAAGGATGCTCAACTCTCAGCCATCAGGGACATGCAAATTAAAACTATAGTGAGATACCACTTCATACACACTGAAACGATTATTCTAAACAAATCATACCAAGAGTTGGAGAGGACGTGAAGGAACTGGAACCATCACGTGCTGCTGGGGAGAATGTGAAACGGGGCAGCTGTTTGGAAAACAGGCTGGCTCTCCCTCAAGTAATCAAACATAGAGGTGCCATGTGATCAAGACCTCCACTCCCAGGTATAGACGCCAGAGAAACGAGGACATATGTCCACATAGGAACATGAATGCTCATAGCAGCTTGTTCATAGCAGCCCCAGAGAGGAAGAACCCTAATGTCCATCAGTTGTTGAAGGGATAAACAAGGTGTGGTAGATACAATAGGATGTTATTTGGAATAAAAATGAAATACAAATAGATGCCACCACATGGATGAACTCTGAAAAATTTTGGTACCTGAAAGATGTCACACACAAAGACCTCCACATCCTATGATTCCATTATATGGAATGTCCAGAAGAGGCAAATCTATAGAGCCAGAAAGCAGATCGGTGGTCTCCTAGGGCTGGGGCTGTGAGCAGGGATGTCTAAGGGGTGTACAGGTGTGTGTGTGTGTGTGTGTGTGTGTGGTAGTTAAAAATTCCTAAGATTTTTTAAAACATTAATTCTTCCTTTTTTCGGCTTTATTGATGTATAACTGACAAACCTGTAAGACATTCAAAGTGTACATTGGGATGATTTGATACATGTGTACAAAAATGTTCTAAAATTGATTGTGGAACCACAATTCTGTGAATACATTAAACACCATCAAATCAAACACTTTGAAAAGGACAAATTGGGTGGTACATGAATATATCTCAATAAAGGTGTTAAGAAAAACTCTGACAATACTGAGTGTGAAGGAATGTATATACCTCTCTTGCCCTGGCTGGTGTGGCTCAGTGGATTGAGTGCCAGCCTGCAAACCAAAAGAGCTCTGGTTTGATTCCCAGTCAGGGCACATGCTTGGCTTGCCAGGCCAGATTCCTGGTTTGGGATGTGCAAGAAGCAGCCAATCCATGTCGATATTTCTCTCCCTCTCCTTCTTCCCTTCTTTCTAAAAAACAAATAAATTAAAAAAAAATTTTTTAAAGAACCCTCTGGCACTGTTGGTAGGACTGCAAATTAGAGGAACCACATTGGAAAGATGTTTGGTGATATCTAGTAGCTGAAGATATGCATCCCTACAGCTCAGAAATTTCACTCCTAAGTATACCAGGATCCTTAACAAGAATAGCAATAGTACTTATAATAACTCCAAACTGAAAAAAAACCTCGAATGCCCACCCTCAGGAGCATGCATAATTAAATTCTGGTAGAGTTATGTAATGGAAGACCACCAAGAAAGAAAATGAATGACCTGGAACTCTTCTCAGCAAACATCTTGAATCTTAAAAATTTAATTTTCAGAGAAAGAAACAAGATGCATGAGAAATACAGACAGTCCATTTACATAAAGTCCAAAACCAGACCAAACAGGAGCTTAGCACTTAAGGGCGTAGCCGCACATGATAGAACATACAGAAATGCAAGACAGAGATGTCCTCACAAGCCAGGAGAGCTTAACCTTTCCTTTGTGGACAGGGACACACAGGAGGTATGGGGACCCTGGCAATGCTATGCTTTGACTTGGCATGAGTATGTAGCTATTCCCTCTAATGTTATTAATTTAACTGTATATTTATATATTTTTGTCTTTTTCTGTGTGTACTTATACACTATAAAGAAAAGCCAAAGAAAAGTTAGAAGAAAGTTTTAGAACAAATAAAGGGGACATGGTGTTACTATTTCAAACCTATTTTTAATGTACTATTTATAGGTATATGGAGTGAAGCAGGAAGAATGATATATGCTTACATAGAATACTGCCCTCCTGACTCAGAAGCTGATATATTGCTTTATAAACAAAAGAACTCATTACCTGTAGTGCCTGGAGTGTGACTACGCGCTGAGGTTCAGGGAAGGTTTAGATGAATCGATGGGGGAGAGATCTCGAATGGCGATACGGAGGATAAATTCCTAACCTTTTGAAGCCGATGTCAAAGAGGGTAATTGGATTCTCTTCAACGTGTTTCTTGCTGCTGCTGTCAGATGGAAAGCTAGACTGGATCGATGGAGGGGCTGACCCAGGAAGGCAAATCTCATCTTTTTCTGTAACTACAGAAGACACAATTCTTCCCCAGAGGATCTCAGTCCATGCCAAGTGCCCAGAATGAAGGTCGCAGCTGATCAACCAGAGTTTGCCATGCAATTCCGGATTCAAGTAGGTTCTTGGTCCTTGTTTTCAAAGAATTTACCATCTGATTGGGAAGACAAAAGTGATACCCCTAACTAGAAACTTTAAATTTTGAATCGTGCGGTTTTAATTTTAAATGTATCAGGAGGGATGCTAAGCCAGAAAAATTTACAAATCAGTAGGAAAGCTATAACAACCCCATAGAGTAAATGGGCAAAGAACCTGAATAGGCAGTTTACAGAAAAAGAAATTCAAACTGCAATAAGCATATGAAAAGCTGCTCACCTCCACTCATAATTAAAGGCTCGCATATCAAAGCAACAAGTTATCAGTTTGGCAAATATTTACAGGTTTGAAAGTAGCCAGTGTTGGTAAGGATGTAGGGAAACAAAATTTGTTTGCTGCTGGTAAGAATATAAATTAGAGGGGAAAAAAGAATATAAATTAATATTTACTAAGTTCTAATTAGTATCACAGTTGACTCATGAAAAGCGTGGGAGTTAGAGGTGCTTTTGCACTTGGAAATACAGGTATAACTTTTGACTCCCCCAAAACTTAAGTTGTCTCTCGGTGTCCACAGAAAGTTGGCTTCAGGGCCCACAAGAGACATCAAAATCCACAGAGGTTCAAGTGCTCTACATAAGATGGCGGAGTCAAGGTGCTCAGTAGGCCTCTGAATCCGGGGCCTCCAACCGCTGACCAAAACTGGTACAGGTGTTTATTGGGAAAAACAAACAAACCCGTTCGTAGGTGCGCCCGTGCAACTCAAACCCGCGCTGTGCAAGAGTCAACTGTAGTAATTATTGAATTAATGTTTACTAATTATTAATTATACCAGTATAGTCTTTTTTGAAGAACAGTAACAACTTAAAAAAAACAAAATGCAAAACCACATGCTCTGATCCAACAACTTGAGTACTTGGAATTTAGCTCTTGAATTCATTCTATTAAAAGTACAAAAAGCTGTAGATATGTACAGAGTAATGCTCTGTTTTGTAAATGGGAAATAGACATACAGATAATCTTTGGGGACAACTAGGGTTGGGAGGAAGGTTAATCTTTATTTTGTAATTTCTATATTATCTGAATAATTTACATTTTGCTTTTTTGCCTCTGATTTTTATCTTAAACCACTGCAGTTCAGTTCTTCGGGAGACCATTAATTCAGCAAACATATCTGTTGTGCTCCAGAGCCTGTGCTAGGCAGCAGGAGTGAAAACATGGACAGACATAACACCTTTTCTGGGAGAGCTACGTCTAATTGTTTGCCACCAAAACATTTACGGGTCATCATAATACAGTGAACTGAGCCCTCCTGAGAGAGGGAGATCAATGCAGTCTGGGGAGTGAAGGAAGACTAGGATTTTGGAGAATCTGTCAGGGTTCCCTGGGAAGAGGAGGGAATGTTGCCCTAAGCCAGGCCAGAGATGACCAGGACCCAGCCTGAAGCAATGGCAGTTGGGGGCAGAGAGGAGGCGAGGGGTTGGAAAACCGTTTGGGTAGTAGAATTGACCCAGGATAGGTGGTCCATGGCATGGAGTGGGTGCGGTTTGGGAGTAAGGGTGGGGTTATTTCCATGTGATTGGGTTAGGGGCATCAGCTGAATTTGGTATTACTTTCAGAGCAGCAGAACCTGTTATGCACATGGACTGTGCTAAGAGTTGGGACGCAAGAAATAGATGGCAGGGTCCCTATCCCCAGAAATGGTTATAGTCTCCTTGATAAGGAAAATGATATTGGCTTCCACAGATGGCTGGTTTAAGCTGACATTTCAATTCCACTGAAACGCGCCCTTTTCCGGATAACCACGCAAGTTCTCCCATGCACCATATGTTAATAAACAGCATCCAGCACCTTTGTGGGCAGCACTGCCACTGCGGAGTCACACTCCGGAAACTTAGCTGCGGGGAAGGCCTGGGGTGAAGCCCCAGAGTCCAGGCTGGTGGTAAGGGGCTAGAGCCAAAAGGACATTGAGTGGGAAATGAAAGGAGAGGCATTTGTGGAAGAGAAAGTAGTTCTGAGGCTTAAAAAAAAATCCTAAAGTAGAAATAAGGGGATTGAAAAAGCAATGAGCGAGCTTTGGTCGGGGTGTGTGGGTGCAGGGGGCAGTGGGAACTCTCTGTGCTATCTGCCCAATTTGTGAACCTAAAACCATTACAAACAAAGTCTATCAAACAAAACAAAACAGTGCGAAGGGAAGGATAGGGGCAGGCGGTGACCTTTTCCTCTTCCTAAAATGTCTCTTAAAGGGAAAAAGCATCTATTGACGAGCTGCAATTCATTCCTCCCCCTGACATTCGGAGAGGGTTTGAGAAGCCCGGCCGCGGTCTGTCTGGGGGCTGCAGGCTCGGCCTGCCTCATCCCAGATGGCTGGAGGCGGTGGCTTTCTTTCCTCGTGTCTCCTGTGCTGAAGATGTCTTTCGAATGAAGATCCCTCAGCCTCATAAGAACACGAGGGGAAAAGTGAGCTTTCCTGGACCCAGAAGGGCAGCACTGGATAGCTTAGAGGACCTGAGGCCCAAATGCAGGGTTTTTGGGTGACTTGTGCCTCCATCACTATGTCACAGCTCCATTGACAGGTGTCCAGGTAAACACATCGGCATGTCCACCTCAGCAGATGTCCATTGGGCAAGAGCCAAAGTGTGGGCTGACCCATGTGACCCTTCCTCCAAAAAACAGAAAGCTGGCCACTGTGAGAAACCAAGCAGCATGCTTTTGTCCCAAGGACGACCGTTGACTGACAGGTAGTCACTGTCATCCTCACATGCAGGGGGGAGCAGGAGGGGATGTGGGGGTCAGAGAGTCAGTTACAGTTTATCAACAGTGATAGTGGCCATGCTTTATTTATAAATCTTTCCAGACTATTGACCCGTTGTGGCAATGTTTGCAGTGTAACTGTATCAATTAGGATCTCCAGTCGCACTGCTTGAGACCTATAAGCCTTAAAGAGCCTATAAAAAATGTTTGCGACCTGGAGAAAAATGTGTGTTTCCAGATAAAAAAAATAAAAAATGAAATGAACAGATCTTGAACCAAGCATTCACAAAATATAATGTTACATCAATTTAATGTTATTAAGTGCATTGTTCATAAAATTTTCTTATAGTCAAAAACGATCTGTAGGTTGGATCTTCTCACTTCATAAGAATTATGGTAGATGCTAAATGATCGCTGATAAGTTATAGCCTAATTCAATATGTTTTTCAGAGCTAAATTCCAAAAGCAACTTATAAAAATCCTTTTAGTGTTTTGTGGCAAAACCACGGTATTTGATGTCAGCTGGAGGTCCGTTTTACCATTTTTGTATGACATAGGGTGGGGCTGTAAAGAATAGAAGGGGCTATGAAATCTCACAGTGGCAATGCAGGCAAATGTTTACCTGAAAGGGTGTTCACTGCAGTGCGGTTTAGAACAGCAAGTCATTTCGAACAACCTAAATTGCCACCAACTGGGGACTAATTCAACAAATGATGGGACCACACAGTAGATACTAGCCGACCATTGAAAATGAAGGAGAATATTTAATGATCTAGATAGGCATTTATAATATATTGAAATATAAAACCATTTGTGCAATATGATTGCTTTGTTTGTAAAGGTGAAATATTTTTTTAAATTATATATATATATATTTGTTTATTCTTAAGATTTTTGTTGTTGTTGTTCAAATACAATTTTCTGCCTTTCCCCCCAGCCCTCCCCACCTCCCTCCCCTGTCTCCACCCCCTCTTGTTATTGTCCATGTGTCCCTTATGTGTTCCTGTAAACCCTTCACCTTTCTCCGCCACTGTCACCTCCCTTCTCCCCTCTGGTCACTGTCAGTCTGTTCTCAATTTCAGTGTCTTTGGTTATACTTTGCTTGCTTGTTCATTTTGTTGATGAAGGAAAAAATATTCTTAAAAAAAAAAAGACTGGCAGAATCTATACCAACACAGTAATGATTAGTGGTTATCCTTGGATATAGAATTACAAATGAGTTAAGTATTTTCTCTTTTTAAAAATTCTCTCTCTTCTCACCCTGACTGGTGTGGCTCAGTTGGTTGGAGTGTTGTTCTGCAAACTGAAAGTTTGCTGGTTTGACTCCTGATCAGGGCAAACGCCTTAGCTGCAGGCTTGATCCCCAATTGGGGTGAGTGTGGTCGGCGACCGACTGATGTTTCTCTCTCTCTTTTTCTCCCTTCTCAATTCCCTTGAATGAGAATAAAATAAACCTTAAAAAAATAAAATTCTCTATTTTTATTTTTAGAAACAAATAAAATGATTTTGATTAAAAAAGAATAAATAAAATTCCCTGCATTTTCTCCTGTGAACATTTAATGGATCTGGAAGGCAGGCAGGTAAGATGAACAAAGATGGGGAATTGTGTATGCTCGATGACTCCTGCTCTGATAATTAATCTATTCTCACTAAAGGAACCTGTGGGTAGGAATGGAATGAGTGGAAACCGCTGGTATTTGCCTCTGTCGTTTCTGAGGTTGAACACCATGGAAACATCACTTAAATGTAGATTTTTGACTGAAGAATGGCAAAAAACGCTCATGTCGCAACCAGCAGTCAGAATAATCCATTTAAAAAGTAAATTGAATTTTTCGGTCCTTCACTGTCTTCTCCTTATGCTGGGGAGAAGATACCTTTATCTCAGCCCGTTCCTTCTCCCCAGCCCTGCCGGTATCTCCACGGCCATCTTCGGCTGCTCACTTGCGCCCGTGGGGAAGTCTGTAGCCACGGAAAGATGTCCCTGTCACGCCGGGGAGGGGAGAAGCAGACTACAGAACAGCCTGTGTGGCTCATTTCCACTGATGTAAAATTGAATACATACACTTTGGTCTGTATACATGCACAGAACTTTCTGGAAGGATATACTCAAAACTAACAGTAAGTGACTCCTGAATGATGTCCTTCTGAGAAACTTAAAAACGATATAGTTTCAAATTTCTCCAGATCTGAAGTATCATTTTTACAAAATCGATCTGTGACTCTTATGTTGTTTAATTAATTCATTCTTATTTATGCTAACAGCTCTGCTAGGAGAAAGCAAACTAACTAAGGATCTCAAAAGTTAATTTTTACAGAAGGAAATGGATGGAGGTTGTTCCAGGGTGGTGGGAAGAAGTGGGGGCTGCTGGAACACTCGCTTTCACTCTGGTTGTGTGTGTTTGGTCCCGAGGCTGAGGTGACTGCTGAGAATGTTAAAAGGGGGACAGAGATACTGATCTGTCTTCAGGCTAAAGGCTCGGAGTTGTCAACACTGCTGAGGCCACTGTTCCTCCACAGAAGGGCACAGGCTCCTGCTCCCTTAGGCAAGAATCATAAATGTACCCCAGGGGCCCACCACCGGGGAGGAGGATGCTGATGTGTAACAAAGCACACAAAAGAGGAAGACGACACTGTGAGTAATGAACATTCGACATTCAATTTGAAGGGTTGTGCCCCCGCAACCCTGGGAGAAAGGTGCTTAATGAGAAGGTTTTTAGGGTCAGAGAGGCTTCTGTTGGAAGCCTGCCCTTACCACTCACTAGTTGTGGGGCCTTCTTAACATTCTGGACCTGGCACTACACTGCCCAGTTCCCGTGGCAGCAAAGGACTCGCTGCTCCAGCTGCTGGGAGCAGGGGCAGCGCACTGTCTTCAGCTGCCACCCCTTTGGGGTCTGCCTCAGCAGCAGAACTGCCTTGCCCAAGTCCACCATTCTGAGGGGTCCCGTGTCCAGTGACAGATGGAGGGGGACCCGTTCTAGCTCCAGAGCGTTCCATGGTTTGGCTGGGGCTGTCCAGGAGTTGCATCACAGTTCAGCTTCTCCTCTGCCCGCTCCTGTTCCCGTCCCTTTCCCTCCATGGGTGTGGATCTCAGTAAACATGCTGCACAATAACTCCAACCTGGAACAGTCGAGCCACTCAATTATTCTGGGCCTCCATTTCCTTATCCATAAAAATTAGAAACAAATAAAATCATATCCATTGCGGAGAGTTGAGATTATGTGAGATCATGTATGTCAAACACCAAAATACCTGGCATGGGATAACTACTCAGTAAATGGTAACTATTATTATGGTAATTAGGGAAGAAATAGTCAATCCCTGCCACCACCATCATCATTACAGTTTATCAGATAGGTTAGTCAAAAAAAAAAGAGAGAGAGAAAAAGGTCTTGCCCTGGCCAGTGTGGCTCAGTTGGTTGGAGGTTCCTCCCCTAAACTGAGAGGTCATGAGTTTGACTGCCAGTCACAGCACACGGCTAGGTTGTGGGTTTGGTGTAGCTGGGGTGCATACCATACGGGAGGCTATTGATGGATGTTTCTCTCATGTTGATGTTTTTCTCTCTCCCTTCCTCTCTCTTTGAAATTAATAAATATGTCCCTAGCTGAGGATAAAGAGAGAGAGAGAGAGAGAAGGGTCTTGAAGACATGGACATGGGAACTCAGGGGGACATACACGGGTGAAATACAAGAAGATTTAAAGCAAGAGGGTTACCAAATGAGGGCAGCTTAAAGCAGGTCTATCTGCCCAGTAAAAGTCATGGACATACACGGACAACAGTAGACCTCTGGTGTACCAAGGAGTCTCTTACAGGTTTGGTCAGCACAGGGCAGTCCCCTAGGCCAGGCCACTTTTGAGCAAACTGGCCAAGTTGAGGTTTGGCCTGCAATGCTGAGAGGTGGGCTGGAGCTTCGGTGTCTTCAGGAAGATTGAAGTGTGCTGGACAGTTCATCCTTGAAGGTATCATGGAGCCCTCACGCTAACAGAGGAGGGAGATACAGTGGGCTGTGCTGTTAGGGGGGCATAGGCCCCTCCCACTGTCACTGCTGTCTTCTGCTGACCTCCAGTCACCCCGCACGTTTCTTGGGCTTGGACGTCTGGTTCCTGGTCCTCCCCCACCACCTGGCCTGCCATCACACTGCGCATGTGGTGCTCAGTTTTGAGCAGCAGAGTGATCAATGACTTTATAGTGACTGGGACTTCGTGTTCCCTGGGCTGTTTGTGTATCTGCCTTGGCTGCATTTTCCTCCAGAAATCTGTGTCCTGGGTATAGATTTGGCTTTGGGAGAGCTGTCCATCTGGATTTGTTTGATTGTAACGTGCTGTCTTGTGTTTAAAGCTATAGTTGTCCATGATGAAGAGCAGACCTGTGGCTGTGGTTTTCGAGTCCAGAGACTGCACCGAGCCTCTGGGGCTTAGGAGAATATAGGAGGCATGTGGTCTGCACAGTCACCTGGTGTTCCGAGCACCCGATTTGTCCCCAGGCTCCGGCAAGTAAAGCTGGGAGCTGCCTTGGGCTGCCAATCTCTTTACA